AAGGAAAAACAGTTTTTTGTTCAGTGAAGAAATATCTCTTTTCAACGACTTCATTTTCAAACAGCTGTACAGTCGTATTTTTATATTACGGAAAAGGACATTGAGTGGCACTACAATTCACTCAGTCAATATGGCACATATGATAAGAATGAATAAAGATAATTAAAATGATGTACCAAGGGGCGGGGTAGAGTTGAAGTGGATGAATTACAAAACTTTTAAAGATTATTTTAAATGAATGAACTGGTATAAAGATTATAAAATTGTAGGTCAAGTGTTGTCTGAAAAATCAAGAGTGTGATGATGATAACAGTAAAGACGGTGAAGTTGAAGTGAAGTGGAATGAATTCAAGTGGTAAAATAAAATAAAACAAAACAAAGGAACATTACCATGACCAAGGTAAAGAAAGAGACGAAGTCAAAAGTGTTTGAAAGACGACTATGTTTACATAGATTTGATCTTACTGGCAAAAGGATCTCAGCGAGCCATTTTGCTGTAGAGTGATAAGGAGAGTTCAGCATGTCCAATATAGGTCGCAGAGGGACACCATCTTTATGCACCTTAAGAAGACCATATAAATGAGGGATGGTTGAACCAGACGGCTTGAGATATTCATACATATACGAAGTAATAATAGATTCGTCCTTCAGCTTCTTGAAAGTCTTTTGACAATTGATTCTCAATACCTTCCGTTCTATCTTTCTGGTTGGTTGACTTTAAAAACTTTTCTTCGTCGCAAAGAATGGTACATAATCTATTGATGTAATCCTCACGATTTAAAGTAATTATGGCCGATTCTTTATCTGGACGAATTAATATTATATCCCTGTTATTCAACAGTTCATTCAATTGTCTTTTATGCTCTTTTGATATCATCTGTCGTTGTTTGCATTGCACTTTTAAGTATTGATAGTAGCAATGCATTATGGCAGCCTTCAATTGTTCTAGATCTTCACTAGATGTCGGAAGTAGATTCTGTGTCTGAGACATAAGATTTTCGAACTGCACCTTTGAATCTAATTCGTCAACGCTGGATGAGATAGTACAAAACTTAGGACCAAGAGACAATATTTGCATCTGAATGTCAGACAGAGTTATATTAGAATACTTAAACACATATTTCTTCGGTGAATCCGGGAACTTCATCTTGAATTCGGTTGGTTTGCAACTTTTCAGTATCTTGATTCTTACGTCCTCAGATCTTTTCTTTATCACGTGGGACATATAATCTCCAAATAAGCTACGTTCGGTCTCTGTTAGTTCAAACGAGAAATGCAGTCGTTGAACTAACAGAGACCGAACGAAGAAAAGTTTTTAAAGTCAACCAACCAGAAAGATAGAACGGAAGGTATTGAGAATAAATTGTAAAAAAAACTTCCAAGAAGCTGAAGGACGAATCTATTATTACTTCGTATATGTATGAATATCTCAAGCCGTCTGGTTCAACCATCCCTCATTTATATGGTCTTCTTAAGGTGCATAAAGATGGTGTCCCTCTGCGACCTATATTGGACATGCTGAACTCTCCTTATCACTCTACAGCAAAATGGCTCGCTGAGATCCTTGAACCAGTAAGATCAAATCTATGTAAACATAGTCGTCTTTCAGACACTTTTGACTTCGTCCCTTTCTTTACCTTGGTCATAGTAATGTTCTTTTGTTTGTTTGTTTTATTTTATTTTACCACTTGAATTCATTCCACTTCACCTTCAACTTCACCGTCTTTACTGTTATCATCATCATCACACTCTTGATTTTTCAGACAACACTTGACCTACAATTTTATAATCTTTATACCAGTTCATTCATTTAAAATAATCTTTAAAAGTTTTGTAATTCATCCACTTCAACTCTACCCCGCCCCTTGGTACATCATTTTAATTATCTTTATTCATTCTTATCATATGTGCAAGATTGACTGAGTGATTTCTAGTGCCACTCAATGCCTTTTTCCGTAATATAAAAATACGACTGTACAGCTGTTTGAAAATGAAGTCGTTGAAAAGAAATACGTTTCTTCACTGAACAAAAAACTGTGTTTTTCCTTACAAATATACTATGTTAACAACAAGAGAACTGATCTCCTTTATAAAAAAAGCCTTAAGTGATCAGCAGTCGAAACCTGTCAGAGTGGAGATCAAATCCTACCTCATATTCCGCTAAAACTCAATTCAGAGTAACCCTGGATAGCTCTTGCTCGTCACCACTATCTCTACTGATTTTAGATTACCCACAACTTCCTCAATTTCTAATAATGTTCGATGAAGCCCTATATTAATATTTCAGTCTGGTTACGATGAGGAAATGGACATCTGAAGAGTGGATGGAGGCCAGTTGAATTGTACTTTAGTGTTCTACCCATTGTACCAGCGTTCATTCTTTTCCAGTTACACACCCACTTACTATTTAGTCACCTATTCTGGACCAGCACTAACTTTGAGGGGGATGAGTAACACGACAACCAAAACTGAGCACAGATACTTTTTTATAGGTTGTCGATATAGGTGATCGCTAGTAGGAACACATGTATGTACTTCAATTGTGTTATTTGGTGTACATGGGTACATGACTGATTAGACGCAGAAAGCAAGCAGGTATAAAGCCCCTACATGTCAAGCTCATAGACTAGGATATCCAGCTTGCATTTAAGGAACTGTCTAGACATTCATTTGGACACGAAATACATTCTGAAAAAAGCCCCGCATCATATGCAGGTTGTGTGAAAGCAGTAATGAAGACAGATTGCAACCTGCAACTACACATTTGTAAGTCTCTGTGAATCTCTCCAACCTTTTCAGAACTAGATGATGCAAAGAAGACTGATACCAGCTTGCTTTGAATACACCAAGAGAATATAGCTTCGAAAGACTAGAGAGATCTGTAGTGTACACTGAACTTGTGTTTTAACTCACTCATCAAAGTTTTGGCGCTGCGCCACTTCGCTTCTTGTACATTTTGGCACTCGTACGCTTTCACCCTCGCTGTACTCTCCTATAAGCATACTCTCCGAATTCCCTACTCCTACAGGTACAGATAAGTGGTAAACCTGTTTTTTATATTATTGAGTTCTAATCACACTCGTTATAAATATACGTTTGGTTACAGGCAAGTAGCGAGTCCTTTCATTTTCTGCTTTTTACTCGTTCCTCAGTACTTGCAGGATAGGCAGAGTAGTAATTAAGACCTAGGCAAAAGAAGTTAGTCTTTTTGTAAGTGTGACAGGCAAATTCGCCTGAGAATAAAATCTGACACTTACAGATTGACTAGAAGCCATCATCAGTACAATAAGCAGTGAAGGATTTTGAAAAGAAAAGCACTATTACTAAATAATATTCGTAAACTAATTAGACTTATTAGAGAGATTAACCATATGAAGACTGTGGTAAGATGATCTGAGAGAAGGAATGAACTCTGATAACCACCAAGTACAGTCGGTTGAGACGTAGAGACAACTACAAGGAGCAGTTCAACGGGACTACAACAACAGTACTAATTTTCTACCATCTAATCCCATGCGCCATATGAATGCAGATGAATGATGTCGTTTAATTAAATTCGAGAAAGCTATCTCAAACAGAAGGCAAGAAAAATTACCAAAACCTGTTACCAGAAGTATTTAAGGATAGGATTGAGGAATTAATGCCTGTAATAAATGAGATGCCAGTTAATTTATAGGAATTCAAAGTAGTTCCAAGGAGCGTGCACGGATCATTAGCCATCGCAGTCTATAGGAAAGAGGTCCTGTGACAGGCTTAGAAGATACAGACTGAAGGTAGAAGAAGAAAACTACAACTTTCTGAGAACAAATAGCAAACGATATTGAGATTAGGCGTATTCTTCGACAAAGAAGGTAAATCGATCGATTAGGTTGTAAGTAAATACCTGATTGAGGTAATTGGAACTTCTTTTGTGCATGCCAAGCCACCGCCCTTCATAATAAGCACAGTTGGGAGAGGTGGGATTACGTTGAACCGAAACATGACACCCATCTAGTAAGTCATTCACTATAGCTGCTAATCACGCAGGAAGGTGTACACATTATTTACCTAGGCTGCTAACAGTTAGTGGTTAGAGACCCTTGGTGAAATGACTCCAAATCGTTCATAAGTGTGCTTAGATGCTTCCATGCATGACTAATGTAAAGCAGTGGCATACTTCTAAGCCAATGAGCTATATCTATAAAATTCGTTCAATACGGTCAGAGGGACTGTAGACACCAACAGCGTCAGGAAGCCTATAAACTGACAGCTACCTAAATTAGTGACTATTAATTCTCATTTGTCTACAAATCGGTAGGATTGGCGTTCCATCATCGGGACTTTCTAAGTCTTTAGGTATTTCTAACTATATGGTTGGCATAACACCGATTGCCTCAAACCCTTCAACATCACACGCTGACTTGTTCTATAAGCGGTATAACATGAAAAAGCAGACTTTTCACTCAGTATTTTCTGCCTTCATAGGCATATCATCAATAGTCTCAAACCATTAGTTCTTAGTGTCTCGAGGACTCCAGCAGTCAGACAGTTTACACCTCCCTATGTGGCTCAAACCAACAGTTAATGACTTCATGGATTAATGCCAAGTTTTGCTCTGACCACCTTTAATTCCTTTCAAACTTAATACTATGTCAGCTAACATTACTCAACAAGGAAGGAGGTGACTCTACATAACTAATATGTGACCTAACCATGTCAATAGATGTGGCCTCACAACCTCATGGATTGATTCTCGTCCCTTACCTGAAACCCTACGCTTAATCTTAATATTGATCACAATATTATATCAGTTAAAGATAGAGCACAAACATCCTTGGTCAAAGACAGCTAGCCTGATCTGTTCTATAGGCGATATAACATAAAAAAGCAGGTCTCCAACCCAGTTTTCTTAAGCAGGATAGTTAACACACACTGCAGACTTCAAGACAGATACACAACTAGATACCAAGTGACGTCATAACATATAAATAAAGCCATCAACAACAACAACAAAAACTCACCTTTTAGCTCCACCAGCATCTGGGCTAACAATACAACAATCTTTCCATTCTGGTATATTTGTTTTAATCCACTTTATAACTGCTGGTTCTGCGTATAGATTATCCACTGGGATATCAAAAAAGCCTTGAATTTGACTAGCATGTAAATCCATTGTGATGATGTGATCAGCTCCAGCAACTGACAGCATGTTAGCTACTAATTTAGCAGAGATCGGAGCACGTGATTTATCCTGTTATAAAGATTTTTCAGAAGGGATGCAAAAAAGACAATTCATTAAACAAATTCAATTTAACTGGAAACTTTAATGCTAAATAAGGTTTTTTTAGTGCCATGTAAAGTTCCTCCATGTATACCGGTTATGTGTCTACAGATTTTTATTATCACACGCAGCTTTTCATAGATACAAAAGAAACCTTAAGTGATATCTGAGTTATATATGCCAAGAGTTAATTTGCCATTCATTCTTTCCATATGGCCATCTTCGAGTGGATCACAGAGCACTAAATAATACAAAGACTAGGAAGCGGTGACCATTACTGTAATGTAGGAACATTAAAACTAACAGCTACAAAATAGTTTATTTTTTTCACAGGGGACATAAGTTATCAGTGTCCGTCTTTTCGCTTGAACTGTTCGCTTAATCCATATTGTAATCAAATGAGCTATAATGCTAACTCAGCAGGAGTACAAGTACAAGCAGGTCGGGTGTGAGGACAAATACTCGCCGAAGACATTGGCTAGGGGTTGCGCTATGTCGTGAATTGGCAGAAGTTAGAATTCATGGGCCATTGGATCGGGTCCCAGTGGCTTAATGGTATAGGAGCTGGCCTTGTAAACCAGAAGGCCCTGGGTTCGAATCCCGGTGGGTGCGTACTGATGAGGAGTCCCAAACTAGGACGAAACAGCTGTCCAGTACTCCCAGGTTTTCCAATGGTTCTCTAACTAATGTCAGCTCATGATGAAAATCCTGTAACCAATCAAATCCCTATAAACCAACACTTGAATAAATTTTATTTATTCAGCTTGAGGGGTAATTTTTCCTAATCTAAATTAGAACAAACAAGTATTGACTAAGTCTCAGCTGAAGCCTTTAAAAGACCTGCGCGTTAGCCAAACAGACTAATAAACAATGCAGGGACGACAGCATTTACCATATCATTTAGTAAAATTCTAATAAGTTGCCCATCATTCTATCCTTTTTTCAAAATTGTCACTTATGAAAGTATTCGTGGTTGAAAGCCTCATCATTTACGAACTAAACAATGTGAAGTACGCACTTAGACGCAAACACATCCAACTAGATATGCATTGAACAAGATGCAAAAAGCAAGGACTTTTGAAACGCACTTTCACGAGATAAAAAATACTGTTATAGAAACCTACTTATCTGAATTCCTATCTGATATAGGATTCCAAAAGGGTTGAATGCGGTTATAATTCTGCAAGTGATTGATAAGACTTAGCTGTAAATAGGTTCAGAAATATAGTAGATGTAACACTGATTTCATTTGTCTTCTGAACTGCATACTCTGTTTACCGCACTGGTTTGATGGACAGTAAAAGCCTTTCAGTAATCTTAACTTACTCTCATTTCACATGCTGACTTGACACTTTTCTTTCTTAAAACCTCTGAGCTCAAACTTGTGCATTACTTAAAGCTGACTTTTTTCAACGAATTCCTTTATTCTGAGAGACAACCTTAAAAAGTGACAATTTAAACTGCTATATTGACCACCATATAAACTTCTATAATTGTAAGTGAACCTCTAATAGAATTTTTCTGACTAACTGGTGAGTGGTGTGTAAAAATACTCTTGCTAACTACTGGATGGTATTTGGACTTCTTCAACCCTCATTTGTCAATAGTTGAGTGTGCCTTAAACACTGAGACTTACCCTAATAAACAGAACTAATTTATTGGAGAATTTCATCGTGAGCTGACATCAGTTAGAGAACCATTGGAAAACCTGCAGGGAGTACTGGACAGCCAGCTATTTCGTCATAGTTTGTGACTCTTCAGCAGTATGCACCCACCACAGGGGTCCGAACCCACGACCTTCTGATTACAAGGCGAGTTCGTAGACCATTAAGCCACTGGAATCCGATCCAATGGCCAGTCCATGAATTTTAACTTCTGCCAATTCATGACATAGCGCGACAAACAAAATCCCTACAAAGCCAATACTTGAGAAGTGATTTAAACTTCCGAGAGTTGATGAGTTTTTCTACAGGATCTCTACGTTTGGTTTGAGCATTCAACTTTTATTTATTTGGTTTCGAGTGCTACTGTCACTCCACCTTCTTTAACCTCAGCAACTGGGTAATACCATCAACTCTCACAGAGTGTGGATCATAACCTGGTGAATGAAAAGTCTGTTCCGGGAAAGTGAGCTCCAACTAATCTAGTAAACCCTGATGCTAATGTACAAACTGAAGTTTATCGTAACAGGCTCGTGAGTAACTATACGTCTTAGAATAACTGAAAACTTAACAATATTGTTTGCGATGTTTGAACACTCTGAATATTAACAAAGAACCCTTTCAGTTAGTACTTAATCATCGAAATCCAAAGTGCAGTGTTTAACCACATACCTATTTCAGTCAGAAACAGATGGACATGAAAATGTACATCCTTCTACAGGAAGATTTGACTTTAGGCTAACAAAACTTGTGAAAATTGACTAAGTAGGTAGGCGAAATCAAGCTGACCATACGATATGTAGAAATAACAACGAAAACAACAGAATAAAGGTCATATAAAGGTCAGTAACAGTAAAATACATCTCCACAAGACAGGTGTTAAGGTACTGTCAGAGTAGTTCTAAAGGTAAAGACTTAGAGTAAAAATTTTGAATAAGCGTGTACGACACACAAATAGCTAAGGAGAAATGATTTCTACAACGAACACATAAATCTGTTTCTACCTGAAAAACTGCCATGATTTCAATTCAACATTCTGAAGTCTTCTTCTAGAACACAGCCCACCTTTAAAAAATCCATTTCGACCTTCTGTACTTTCAATTCTTTAGACAATGAAATTATTTAAAATATTCTAAGAGGGCAAGTAGTGTCAGTATCGTAAGACCACTGGGCGATACTACCACAACAAAGCGTTGCGTGTTTAGTGAACGCATGGCTTCCAGCTGCGGCGAGAGCAAAGTGGAAGAAACTAATTCCACTTGGTTAGTGCCAAAAAAACAGGAAGCTGAAGAACTATATGAAAGAGAAGAAGACTGGACTTAGTGATAAGGTCTCGACGGCCTTAAATACTAACACGATTTCAAAACTTTCGGACTCAAATTACAGTAACATTATTTGGAACTTAGAGGAATCGAAGAAAGTAGATTCAGCTGCCCGATATGCTGATGATCTCGAGGCAGTTAGCTCCATTACTCGTGGAATACTTCCTGAAAAAAAATGGAGTCCACATAAGAAAGGTCATCAGAATCGGTAAATGAAGTGCTGATGCCGTGGAAAGTTCCCGATGACTACTGAAGATGGTACTGGGGAGCGAGATGGAAAAAAGCATTATTCTCATCAACGCATTTAAGATCAAGTGTAAAATGCTGAGAATAAGGCCTGATCGACCGTTGTAAGATAGAATTAAAAGAAGAGAAGCCGTTGAATAATTAAAGACCGGACTAGAAAAAGGGGAAAAAGACCTAAAACTGTTGGGTTTTCGGGTAGTGACGTCTCGGAAACCTATGTTGCCCAGACCTCTGTTCATAAGTCGAGTGAACACGTAGATGTTTCAGTATGCTATACGAACGAGTGTAGTCTTAGGAATAAGCTCCCTGAATTAGGAGTATTATCTGAAAGGCTACAACCTGACGTGATTGCTATCACTGAAACATGGTTGTTAGTGGGTGTAGACTTAACTCCACTCATACCTGGGTACATCTGCATTACAGCAGACAGAGTAATCAGTCGAAAAGGTGGTGGGTTGCCCTATAATCAAATAATAGGAATTAGGTCAACGTTGTCAGAAGCGCATAACAGCGGTACTAGTTGAGCCGCAAGCTGTTTCATTAACTTCAACAAGGGCACTGTGACGACTGGGGTTATTTATAGAAGTCCTACAAACCAAGCTGACGATTTCGTACTAAATCACCTTAAGGTGTGGGGCAGTAGAAATAGGTGTCTAATAGTAGGTGACTTTAATGCCCCACATATTAATTGCCAGGAATTAACATCAACTACCTTGTATACTTGTTTCAACAGAGAACTCACACTGACAGTGCTTGAATGCGTACTTGTGCAGCATATCGATGCACCAACACGATACCACCCTCAATATGATCCGTCTACTCTAGACTTGGTGCTAACACACCAGAAGGAGGATGTCGATGATATTAGGTACGTGGCGCCACTAGGCAGAAGTGACCATATAGCTATCACTCTTGCATTTAGGATTCACGATGTCATACATAGGTCAACAGCTGCTCGTCCAAACATTTGGAGAGCGAATACACCTGCCATCCGAAAGGCAGCAACCCTAGCTGACTGGTCTGTTGATACACACCAGACTGTCAAGGAGGCTTGGATGGGATTAAGGAATACACTAGATTGCGTCACTGTACCCTTTGTACCTTGGTCTACGCCTCGAAAACTATCGCACAAACCACCTTGGAGTAGTAATGAAATAAGGAGGTTATTAAGAAAGCGAAAAAACTTATGGGACCGGTTTACTGTGACTGGGAGGGATGAGTTTCGGATGGAATACCGCAAAATTCGAAACCTTTGTAAGTATAAGATTGACAGAAGTCGTATAGAGTTTGAGACAGTTAGTACTGGATTGTGTGCATTATCCCAAAAGACTGTACTCGTATATTAAACGAAGGAATAAAACTAGCAGGGGTATACCGTCACTCATAAGCAATACTGGAGAGGCAGCTGGCTCAGATGAAATAAAAGATGAAAAGCTCTCCTAATACTTTTGCGGTATCCTTTCATCTAATCACACCACTCAGGCATATAGCGAATTCACTGCTGTAACCACTAAAGTGCCCACAATTGTGGTAGAGGATACAGTGGTTCTCAAACTACTGTCTAAGCTGAAGCCAGGTATATCACATGGACCTGACAGACTTCACCCTAGACTGCTAATCTCCTTGGCGGATATAATACACATACAGCTTAGGGGGATTTTTCAAATATCTCTGACCCAAGGACTGGAAAGATGCTTTTAAAAACCCTATCTTCAAAGAGGTGAACAGGCAGTCGGTGTTTAACTTCCGGTCTGTAAGTCTAACCTGCATAATAGCAAAGGTGTTACAAGCACTCATAAGGGATCAGCTCTTAACTCATATGGAGAAACATGGCTTACTGGCAGTGGAACAGCATGGATTCCGACCAGGACGATCCTGCCTGACAAACTTACTGTTAGTTAGGGAAGATTGGGTCGAAGCCAAGGATAAGAACCTTTTATTGGATGTTGTCTTTATCGGTCTTAGTAATGCATTCGATAAGGTATCTAATTTAGGTTTCCTTAGTAAATTAAAAGGTTTTGGACTAGACCAACGTCTGTGTGAGTGATTTAGGGACTACCTGGTGGACAGAAGACAGAAGGTAAGGGTTAATGGTGTACTATCAGGATAGAAAGCAGTACTACTTGGAGCACCTCAGGGAACTGTACTTGGCCCCTTGCTATTCCTATTATACTTAAATGAACTGCCAAAAATTTTTACCTCATCTTCCTTACTATTCAGGGACGATATTACGATATGGAAAACCGTATATAGTGACGATGATAGGTTGGTACTACAAAACGATCTAGACAAATTAGCTGAATGGACTAACCTCTGGAGTCTGGAAATTAATTCCAAGAAAAGTACGGTGATGCATCTAGGTCAGAGGTCGTATTCCCTGGGACACACAGAACTGCCAGATGTTAAGGGACAAAAGGACTTAGGAATTATTGTGAACCATGACTTAAAAACAACGGCAAATTGTAATGGAGCCGTAGCTACGGCTTTGGGCACTTCGAAGGGCTTTCAAACGATTAGACGAGGATATGTTCCAAGTACTCTATGCAACGCACGTCAGGCCTCATCTAGAATACTGCATACAAGCGGTGAGTCCATGCTTCAAAAAAGGAATAAGAGTATACAGGGTAGGGACCAAATTATTTAGTAGTATCCCACACCTCTCTTGTGATCAGAGGATGGAGCATTTAAATCTCTTCAGATTATCATACCGAAGGAGAAGAGTCGAATTAATTTTGGCATACTGTAAATTAAAGGGTGATTTAGTGGCTGACCTATCTAATCTTTTCTTTTCCTCTAGGATACGTTTACGTGGTCACCACAAAAAGGTGTTCAAACCAAGGTCGAATAAAATAAGTGTGGAATTTAGATTCTCTTACAGAGTGGTCAACGACTGGAACTCCTTACCTGAATCAGTAGTAACAGCTCCATAGGTGGACGCTTTTAAAGGAGAACTAGATCTCTGCGAAGATATATACTACAAGGATTACCATAGGCAACAAGAGCCTACTATCATTATTATGAATCTGAATCATAGTGGTAAACGAAATATGTGCACAATTAGATTCCATGTCTGTGAGGACTGGCGTCCCTTGATGGTAGTTCAGAATTAGTACTACGAGTGTTACTATGAAGAACACCATTAGACCAGAGGAAATAATGCCTCATTATGAAAGTTGGAAGCAAAACGTACTAACTATAAAAACTAAAAATGATTTGTAGAACGAACTCAAAACCGATCAAAAAATCATTCATCTTTCAGCATCTAAACAGGCAACTCACCTTTTTGTCTTGTCTGGCATATGGAAAACACGGGATAACTGCTGAAACTCTACAACTAGAAGCAATTTTACAGGCATTTATCATTATGAGCAGTTCCATCAGATTGTCATTGACTTCTCCGCCGCCAGTCTGTATGATATATACATCCTCTCCACGTACTGATTCTCCAACCTCGACACTAAAAGAGTACATTTGTTAGACTTTGTCCTTGTACTAAAGAAATGTCACAAGGACTTTACTAACCTTGTCTCCTGGTTGCTGAATTTTTTGGAAGTTACTTTTGCCAATCGACAACCAATACGGTCAGCTATCTTTTGAGCCAAATCCTGGTTGGAGCTACCAGAAAACACTTTAATATTTGGCATTCTTATCGGTGACAATACAAGCCTCGCGGCTGGAGCGACCCGTTCGAATTTCTGCGTGAATTTCACAGTCGTTGTTGATATAAATACAACATTCAATGTCTGTTATGTGAAGCTTGTCTAATTTTTATACTTTCCAGTAAATTAGGCTAATTCTGATATTTACATCACTAAATTTTATTTATTCATAGATATGACCTAAGATTTAGTTGAGTGATTATCCACTCATCATACAACATTAAAAGCACTTTTTTCATTGGACACTAGTAACTAGTGTGACGTGTCAAATCTTTTCTTTGGTGCAGACTGAATTCTTTCAGTCAGTTTTGCAATGTGGCCACCATCCTAGGCAGCTCGCCATCACGGTGCACACTGATTTGATGATATAAGATAGTTGGAGACAGTCGGCAAGGCTTCCTGTCGATTGCCTCCAACTATCTAATATCATCAAATTAAAAGCACTTTCTCTTCAAGATCATCGGAATCGATTCCAGCATCCGATAAATACTGACACATCAGTTTTCTTCAGCTAGCTCCTTGGTTTTGAACAACGATCCCATGTTTTCGGGGAACTGTGGTGCGCTGAGTTAGTAAACTGGATTGGATGAGCTCCGTTAAGCATATTGAATGCCGCTGGCGGGATCGGTAATACTCTGGTCACCATTCAGTCTTTCGTAGTAGTTTAAGATCAACCGGAACACTGGATAGTTACTAAAAGCATTATGAGAGAGAAATACTAGAATATATCTAGCGAAAGAAAGGGACGATCAGTAGAGGTAAAACTACGATACAGATATAGCCGATAGGGTTAGTATTCCTTCAGTGGGTGGATTTTACAAAGTCATCCAACCTCATTTCCAACCTATCCACCAATGTCTTGGCGACTATATAAAGGTGGTAGTGAAGGTGATGATAAGCTCTTCTTACCTATGCACGACGATTGTAACAGAGACCTATGCATATTTAAACCTGAAAATCCTGTAAACCTGTTCTGTTATCACTCCTAGTCCAGTGCCAACCAGGAAGGTTAATGCCCAATGTTCACCGCCATCCAAAAACTTATTTTCAGCTTTCTTGAAACATTCAACAGAAGACTAAAAGTACCTGATAAAATCAATCTTACAGCGACATAGTCACTATATTAAAAGGCTTTATACAGTCATCTTGAAATAATTGAGATAATTGAGCTAGCTTGTTCTTTGACCCCAACATTAATAACACCAATGACTGTTGTGTAGCCTCCTGTTCCGTCTTATCCAATATCCCGGCTAGATTCAGAGCGTAGTCAACATTAATTTTGTGTCCTCCCTTACTTAAACACAATGTGACTAATGAAGTTATACTATCATGCCTAATATTTTCATTTAGTGCCTTTTGGTAAACGGGCCGATGAAAATTATAAAGGTATTAAGCCACAACATAGTGCGGTCACCGCTGTCTTGTTCTCTCAAATATTTAGCAGCCACAAGCTAATGCATTGGCCTCTAAACAAGTAAACCGACCAAATGAAAGATAAAGTGGAAATGTCTGAAGCTGGATGGTTTCCATGAATCTGTTCGACCTTCTATAAACAAATGTTTATTTTCCCCATATGATGGTTTAGCGTATCCTGTCTACTATTCTGCCCTTAGGTTCCACGAATTAGAATTGCAACTTGATGAAGGGATGACCGTTTCACTACCGAAACAGCTTACGAAACTATGATATATTATGTGCTGTAGTCATCCTTGAATTGAAAGACTTCTAGAAATATGAGAATATTGAAGAATGTTACCTGAAAACGTAATCTATCATCTTTCTTAACAATAACTCTTGTTCCAACACCACAGCTTCTCCGTCACAAACATGTGTGTCTGAAAAACAGCCTTTTAATTCTGAATGCCACAGGAATTGAGTCACATTTTAGTGATATTAAGGATATCTGTTACGTCATATAAGACGAGAGCCGTTCAGGGATATCACTCTCCAGCTGTACAGTCTCATGTATACAGTAAAGTTTTATAGCAAAAAATGAACTTGTGACTGGGATGTGTCAATGCAATTGTAAGTCGTAGGTTACAATTACGTATTAGAGAAAGTTTCATTTTGGTAGAAGGTCAAATAAAGTCAAATAAGTAAATTGCGTAACGTTATTTGACTGACATGATCGGGCATGTAGCGGTAGGTAATTCCCCAGAGTTATTATCCACAGTATTCATCACCGAGCATTGGATGCTGACCCTCACTGTTTTAGTCGATTTATTCAGCCGAAGGCTTACGGTCAAGCATCCACGCCATTTGGCACGCCATCGTGGTACGTTCAGTTACTCATGCACGATCCCTAGCTAGTTAGGCAATCATCCTCGCACTACGATTTTGGTCCCGAAATATAGTTCGTAATTTGGCCAATCAATTCTGTTGTTTTGACTTGCCACTGGTTTACGCGGAACGAATACTACATAAGTTGTGGGTATCAGATCTTGCGTCAGTATACATCGTACTATCCGCGGAAGTCGACATCCTGAGCCTCTAAAAGTAGAACGCAACCAAAATTGAGAGTCAGGTTAGGATCAGTGTCATAAGAACCAGAAATGCAATATTGAAGGGGGACATGATACGACTAGAAAAACTGAAAAATTAGGATTAACATAAGTTAATTACCATGTGTAGAGGCAGACTACGTCCATTGTAGGCTTAGTGACCAATCAAACTTCTGCATAAAGTGTCAGGGATTTAACATGTGGATTACCATAGCTTCTGCGATTCGAAGAATTTTGATTCGCACTCTTTTGGCAAAATTACCGCGTACCTTGAGGCTGAATCTGAATTTGTTTTGCGGGTGTACGCAGTGCCTAGAGTCGATCAGGTGGCCTAGAACAGAGGTACAGGCTTTTATCCTTCTGCTTTAAATAACCTTGAAGGTAAGTGCTCTATGACACGTTTGGATAGCAAATGCTGAGTATAGCCGGTGTACTTATCTCCACAGGATTAGAAGAAATGAAGGACGCATACTGATGAGGCTGTCAGTGATAACTTATCCTTCACATTCTCACGAATTATTAATTTTGTAGGGAAAGTGAGACGAAACTCAGTCACCAGTGAACAGGACTTGAGGTTTCACAGTACCCCGATGATTCACTGAATTTCAGATCCAAATAGAGGTGTTTTCCGGGGCAGATAGTGTGTGTGCTGCTTTTAGTCATGCAGGCTCCATGCCTTTTTATGAAGCTATCGGGATAAGAACCGAACTTAGAGTGCCCAGCCCCTCTTCCATGGCGTCAGGTGATATGTAAGTCGACAGGCTTATGTGGATAATGGACTGATCAGTTGACCCATAGATGGATAGACAGACTATCAATGAATTATCCTTTCTCACGCCTACGTCATTGGCCCACACACTTATTCTTTGTCTCCTTTCGTAAATATTATCTTTCCGTCTCACCTCGTCGTGTTCTCACTCAAGTAGCGGGCTGGGAAATCAGGCGGCTGTTGTGTAACATTGGTGTCCACCACTCTTGTTACTAGCTCGTGCGTCCCAATCCAACCTATAGTTTTCAAAATATGAGACCAGGGCTACGAATGTTCGAATTCTGTGACTTAATGTGCTGATCAGGTCCCGTTTTGTATTTGAAGCCACAAATGCAGACGTTTGTGAGTTGCCTTCTCCACGTTGGCTTTCTATGGATCTTCTCAGCGTTCTATTCTTTCCACACCTGGTGAGTTGAATGTCCAGAAAGCAAATTTTCCACTCGAATCCCTTACCTGGTTTGAATCGGATTACAAAGTGGCAGCTATTGAGAAAATGTAGAACATCTCCTACAAGATCTCTTTATTACTGAGGATATGATAGATTATGAGTGGCAATAGTTTGTGCTCGAAACGTCACCAGTTAATATAACTTGTTGTGCTGCTATATTTTGACTAAACCAGCGTACACATATCTTAGTATTTCTTCGCGTTTTTAATTGCGCCCTAACGTTGCGATTACTCGACATCCACAACGTAATTCAAAAGGCACTTGCGAAGGAATACGATAGTGTATTATTGCAGCAATCAAAAATTCAAAAATCGAGCGAGCACAAAAGTATCAATTTTTAACATGCAAGATTTAGAGTAATGAACAAATCGAAGTACAATTACACAATGAAAGTATACTGCGATGATGAGTAATAAAACGGGTCACTACAAACTGTACAACACTGTGTGATTTATCAAAATAAAATCTTATCCATTATGGAGTTATACTCTATCACAGTGCCCAAGTTTTATACTTATATCAATATTACTGAGGATAATCAGATTATCACCAACCTATCCCTTGTAGAATCCAAATTTTTGGTCATTGCCTCCAAATGTGTGTTTCCGAGTTTTGACATGAAATCTGCAAGGAACGAGCGCAGCGGTGAACCCATAGTTACCACCTACTTTTGTTTACATATTTCTCTATCGGAAAAATGGGAAATTTACGGCGCATTTCAACAGAAGTTCCTTCAAATAAAAATTAGGTATTCTGACATTTAGTCCCTTTGGATCAGTATGTTTACATATAGGCAGCATATCGTTTCACTTAATGGAACTTACTTAAGCAGCGAGATAACACATAATGAGAGCATGATTTGATTAGAAACGTTGTTTTCAATGGAACTGGAAAAAGCTAAAAGAAGCTTACAGTGAGTGGCGAGGTGGATTTTGGAGGTGAAAATTTAAATAAGCACAGAAGATGCGATAGTACACTTATTTTATCTTTCGCCTCCTACTCTACAACTATCAGTGTTCTTATGTTACGTAGTCCATAGAAGAGTTAGTAAACCAAGTGAGAACAGCGCTTGGACTGTACGAGATACGAAGTACGCTTCTGGGACACGAGTTCAACTAACTAGATGTCGCTAACGCTCAGCCAAATCTAACATGATGGCGTGCCAAATGGGGAGGATATTTGGTGGTGTACCCTCAACCTGACCAGTAAAATTAAACAGCAGATTTCAGAATCCAGGGTTAAATTATAGCTTATAGATTTGGGGGAGCACCTACAGCTACAGCTGATCCTTCCATAGTGGAGTCCAATGGTGACATTAATAAGACTCTTCTGATGGACGCACTGAGTGGTCCTGTGGTCGTCTATGTGCGCCAATATAATCCACATGCAATGATTATTTATATGTTCGTCCACAGGTTCTCCTTCTTCACTTCTGGCTCTATGCCCGCTGTATCTGGAACAGAAGAA